CACCGAACTGACACACAATGCTCTCTGGAAATTGGTATTCAATCCCGGGTAGTACGGGTCCGCGACTACACATACGCAGCAAGATGCCAATGCTCAAACCCGTCTACTGTTTTGTCTCAGCCCTTCGATCTTGTGTTGGACTCATGGGAACTTCTTAGAGAGACAAAGGGGGAAGTGATAAAATGGGCTTCTTCAGTATCGCCCATTTGAAAATGTAGGAGCAATTTGAACTTGCCGCCAAATGTTGGGCTTCGAGGTAATCGATAGATCCTATTAGTGAGTCGTCTGCTCTGTTTACTGTATACAGCTGTCATCACTGTCATTGTGGGATCTAGGGAAGTTTATTTGATTCGATGATAACAGTTATGTCACTCAACATGAACGCCTCATGTCCCTCAATTTACTGTTACTCTGCTGTTCAACATTAGAAATTCTACCTGCCATAATCTCTTCAAAAGAATAATTGACAACAGGTTAGATCACCGTTGGCACAGTGTTATCTGCTTCTGATCTTTTAACAAAAAATTGTGATAACATTTCTTTTGTCATTGTATATAAAATTGATGCAGAAAAATATTTGGACTGTTTTACTTCATTGTTTTGTATTCTGTTGTTTCAGAACAAGATGACAACTTTTTTTACTCCAGAACGGCATGGATATGCAGTTCGCTTTTCCCCATTTTACAAAGATCGAATTGCAGTTGCCACTTCTCAACAGTTCGGTTTAGCAGGTTTGTGCGGATTCTGTTTCCTATTTTTGAACCGTGCTTTCATATTAAACTTATTGTAAACCACCATTTGTGAATTACAGGAGGTGGGACATTATTTGTATTAGAACGAACACCAGTTTCCACTCTCGAGCGTATAGCAGTCTTTGAATGGTCTGATGGATTATTTGATGTAGCGTGGTGTGAAGGAAACCCTGACATAGCTGTGACTGGAAGCGGTGATGGACACCTGCAAGTGTGGAATCTTCACCACCCCTCTGTAAGTTAGTTACAACTTAATGTTACTATTTTTCAACATACTTTCAATGTGTCTGCTATTTATTTTTTTAATCAACTTTCTCTGCTTTTTTTGTTAATAGATGCCTGTGAAAACCTATCATGAACACACCAAAGAAGTTTATTCTGTAAATTGGAATTCTCACAACCGCCAAAGAATTCTGTCTGCATCATGGGACTGCTCAGTCAAAACGGTACATTATTTTTCACTGATCTATAGTAAACTTTACGCATGACTTTGCTATATGCAAGTTTTATCATCCTTTTGCAGTGGGACTTAGGATATCCAAAATCCACCAGAACATATGAGGGTCATACTCAACTAGTTTATGATGCTGTTTGGTCTCCTGCTGTCCCTTCCATGTTTGCTTCTGTGGCAGGTAAGATTCCAAAACTAATAAATTAATAAAATGTAGAAATTGACATGTATTAGAAACTTAGGTACTTAGTTTTTATATTTTTCAGGGGATGGTGTGCTGCATATATGGGATGAGGAAGTGGCCACTGCACCCAGAATGTCTGTGCGAGCTCATGAAGCTGAAGTTTTATCATGTGATTGGTGTAAATATGATCAAAATATTCTAGCTACTGGAGCTTCTGATGGGTTGATACGCATATGGGATACTCGAAAACTAGCCACTCCAGTGACTGAACTTCAGGTAGACTTCAGAACTTTGCTTTACTTTATTAGAAGTGCTGAGTTTCATGGTAAAATGTTTTTCTTTGCATTCTTGCAGGGCTGTGAATATGCTGTACGCAGGGTAAAATTTTCACCTTATCACGCTTCTATACTTGCTTCTGCTTCATATGATTTCACTTCACGGTGAGTAGACAGCAGTTAAGATTAGGCTAAAAAACTTGTATTAACAGCTGTAAGTGAAACATCACTTTAAAGTATCTATATTTTTCAGGATATGGGATTTTAAAACATCTTCTGAAGAAATAGAAACAGTGAAACATCATTCTGAATTTGTTTATGGCCTTGACTTCAATCCCCATGTTCCCGGTGAATTGGCTGATTGTGGTTGGGACTCACTAGTTCATATTTTTTCTCCTTCATCTCTTAGTTGTCTTCCTTTGTCAGAACCGAGATAAAATTTGATTTGATACACATTGAAAATTCCTCAATCCATCCTGTGTCCTGCTATAAAAATATGTGTAGGATGTCTGGAGGACAAGAAAAATTTACACAGAAGCAAATTTTATTCAAAATCACAACAGGAGGCATTGTTGCCATACCTGCCATCCAGATTAAGTATCTATTTTTCTTACTGTCACAAATGATCAAGGAACATTAAGAAAACTGTGTTTTGATTGATAGATGGAGTTATAGCACATTATAAAACGCACATAACTGTTTTCTGGAATGTTAGCAATTAAGCAGAGAGAAAATACTGACTCACATGTTAAGGGTAATGTGGACTCATCATGGCAATTTTGTCAACCGTTAAGGACAAGTGGCTTAGCCACTAAGAAGTTTTTAACAATTTAACATATAACAGAGGGAAACCATAACTTAACAGATAAAAATAGATGAGCATTTTTATTAGATAATTAATCTTGGTCCATTCTGATGTTCAACATCTAACAATAACACACAAAACTTAACAACTTTTTTTGCACAAGCAAATATACTGCAGAGAATTAGACATATGACAAAGCAGTGACCTCTATTACTATCATAGAAGAGAACTATAGTTAGTCTGCTCAAGAAGGCAACAAATGCTGCTGTTTACTTCACATATAAAACAGAACTACAAAATAAAGTGGTAAAGAGGTACAAAGTATTTTTTTTTAAATCAGGAGTTTCTCTTATTATTTAAGACAGAGGGAAGTAAAATAATTCATTCAATTCACGTGGAAGAGGGAAGGAACAAGTACTCAAAAACCTATGTGGAAGAAATGTGATACAGCTGATGAAAAGATTCCATCAATTAAAATAGCATGTGTTCTATCTATCTATCAATCAGAAACAATGACTGCTGTATGCATTTAAAAAAATATAGTCAACACCATTGAAATTCATTAACATTTATTCAATACTAGCAAAGTGTTGATGAAACTCTCTCTATCGAAAATAACCACAACAATCTTCACAATCAAACAAACAATATGGTTTGACTAGGATTAAAGCTTAGTTGTTTAAGCTGCATTGGCAAGCACTCTAGTTTTGGAACATAAACACATCAATTGTTTTGAATCTATAATTCTACTACAAGTTCCAAGAGAGGAATCTCCAGGAAGAAATCAATAAATAAAATTACTAACTAATGCATGTCACCTTTTTGTCAAAGGTTAAAATTTGTGGCAGATGGCAACAAAGCAGATAGATAGGATATACAACAACCACAGCCATCACTGCAAACATTAGCTACAGCCCTTTTCAAAATACAAAGAAGAAACAAAATACAAAAAAGTAAATTTTGAGAGCATGAGCCAAATGCAGCCAATTTAAATTATTAAACAAGTCTAAACCCCACATATTTTGTAGCTATCAATACTGATAGAGGTTTGAGAGGTAGTCACATTCTGTACCATAATTTTTCATACCAAAATAGAACATTTTTTATTATTAAAAGTCATTGGAATGACTCCCAAAAAATATGTCCAGGAATTAAGTCCAGTTTTAGCTTGACTGAACATCAGTCCAAAATCAAGGTACACCTTTACATCAAGCAAATTCTCTTTTAAAAATTTGGTGACAAAAAAACCTTTTAGGCCCTGGAACGTACTTGTAATTGGCTGGTCCCAACTGTCATATGCAGACAAAAAGATTCTATGTCTCTGCAGAACGGGCTAGTATGCCACAGAACCACAGAACCACAGAACAGAACAATGGTATATTTACTGTAAGTTGATCAAGGAATACAGTTATTTTATTCTAACATCCTAACACTCTTTGGGGGGAAAAATAACAAAGCATACAATTTTTTTTTTGCAAAGTAAAGTAAAAGATGAACCATAGTAAACTCAAACTGCCCAAGATGACCCCTTAGTTTTGGGCAATTGTTTGATAGTACAAAAAAAGATCTAAAATATTGAAATGTGTCCATAATAATGATGCACAATATTCATAAAAGGTATTTACCACGTCAAAATTTCATAGTATCAGAAAAATTATACTACATTGAAAACAACAACAAAAAACAAGCCCTAATGGATGATAAATTAACCATACCATGGGTTTGTTTCAAAATCAGTCTCATCATCAGCTTAAAAAGCTTAGCACTAAACGATTAAATAAAAACAGAAATGACAAACAACAGAGATGAAAATAACAAAGTCTTAATAGTTACTCTCTGCTTCAGACATCTAATTTTTACGTAATACAATATCTATTATTATAACCAGTTCATTATTTTTCTATTTACTGACTCCATGTAACTTAGTTATGAATTGGTATAGGTATTAAAAAGGCATTAAAAAGTGGGGAAATCGAAGTCTTAGGCAGCCATTTTATCCAACTAGAAAGAATTTGGCACCGAGGAAAGACCAAGGTGAGAAGTACTGTTTGTCATTTAAGGCTAATCACTTTCTTAGGTCCAATTTACATAACTTACGGATAAATGGTTATTTTGAAGAAGACACATGAAGGCAATGAAGAATGAAGGCCAGTTGTTCCTAAGGATGTTAAGCTCAAGAGCAGTATGTTTGAGCTTAAGCCACACTGACTTGAGACCCATTCTTGATAGAGAGCTATGAGGGTCATCTTCATTTTGTGATGGTTATTTTTCTGACTTTTGCTGGTTCACTCAGTTTTATCAGTAGCCAATGGAAAACGAACTATCCTAAGTTGGTTAGCATAGTCACACACTACACTGTCTCGTAACAATAAAAGTTGTTTCACGAACACACAAGAGTCTGCATGGCCCAGGCGGACCAAGCGCACTGGGTCACCTGCTCTAACGTCCCACACAATTAATGAGCCCTGAAACAGAAATTAGAAAATGAGGTTTAAACTCATTTAGCTAAGACCAATAATTATTATAAATTAACATACTTGTTTACTAGTAACGAGGAGACTGTGTGTCAGCATAGCAATACTTGAGCAATATGCTTGGGCCTGGAAAATAGAGGAAGACAGAAATTACCATAGGTATTCCAAAAGAAAGGATTAGAAATACTTCACAAGATATACATCAAATAGACAAGCACTAGTTGATCGTACAAGCAGATTAAAAAATGGACAGTAACTACAACAACAAAATACAGCAGTGAACAAACTATCATAAAACGCTGTGCAAATATTCCTCCACCACTGATACACCACAAACCATGAAGATTACATACACAAAAAAAAAAAAAAAAATGATAATAAATACTACACTGACTTTTCCTACATGTGGCAGACCCACCATCCAGATGGTGTTAAGAAGATGGCCCTGAAAGCGTTCCCACACACACAGGCGATCATCAGCACCCAAACTGATCACATAACTGGCAGAGTAAGTCAAAGCCAGAATGGCACCATCATGGGCTTGAATACTATACATGCAGGCGCCTAAAATAATACACAAATCAAAGAAATTAGTAGGAGTGAGAGGAGAAGTACATTAGAAATGTCAAAATGTGTTCATAGGAAAGGCTAAACATCTCACCTGTCAGTAAGTCCCAGACACATAACAGACCATCTTGACTACCAGACCCGGCAGTCATAGGACTAATGCAGTCAATGAAAAGGCAAGTTATTGGACCACAATGGCCATGAAGAGTGTAAAGAGGAAGGTAATCCTCTAAACGAAAGACCTGAAACCAATTTTGTTTTTTAAACACAATATTTCCATTATTGACATAATGTATCTCTATTAATTTATTAGATTTTATGTCTTAAATATGTATTAATACTGCACTTTTAAAGTGTGATCTTGACTTCCTGTAAGCACTCGTCCTCCCTCAGTCTGCAAGACTGTGATGGGCTGTTGATGTGCTCTGGTAGAATGTAAGCGTACACATCTGATGTCCTCTTCTTCACCCCTTGAAACCATTGCATCCCAGTCTAAGGACCCAGCACTGCCAGATCTAACATGAGCTGCAAAATTAAATATATCTACATTTAATTACTGTATCATTGTACATAACTTTATGTGCTGAGCGCCAATTAAATAATTGAACTTATCTAGCCTTGTTACCAAATGTGTACATTTTTGTTATAGATTAGATTCAGATTGAAAAGCAGACTTACTTCGGCGATATGCTGTAAAGCCCCAATCAATTGGCCTTCCTTTGCTGTAACTTTCAAGAACTAAAAAGTCCAAAAATCCAGAGAGGCGAGCCGCTACAACTCTGTTCCCAACCAACTTTACAGCAGTCACTCCACTCAAGTTGGGGTCTTCGTAGAGACACTGCATTTAAAAATTAAATGATAAATTAAAAAATTATTTAAAATGTGTAAGGTTCAACAATTTTCTCTTGTTATTTAACTATACTACCTTAAATCGTCCAGAAGCTCCCTCCCAAAATTCTAATCTTCCATTTGCACAACCAAGAACCACAATGTTTTCTCGACAATCAATACACCAAATTGGAGGCACATTGGCATTGGCTCCATCACATCTGCCACTTTTATTTTGACTTTCAAATGAAGATTTCCTGGTAGTAAATTCATCTAAGTAAAACTGTGGAGATTTTAGAGATTTTGGAGGGGAAGAACCTAAACTTCCACAGCTGCAGTCCTCATGAGTTTCTTCACTGTCTAAGGTTGATCCACTTAAATCACATGACCTTCTGTGAAACTGAAAAAGTTCTCTATACTTGCTGCTAAAGTCATATCCGGATCTACTGTCTTCTAGAGATGGAGAGTGTGAAGAGCTTGTAAGGGAAGAAAAATTGGTGTTGATGGATGAGCGCAAGTCTGGAAAAGACCAATCTCCAGAACGATTTGAAGTCCGGATGATGCCATTACTGTAAGAACCCCTCCTATCTTTTCCTGAGGTATTTCTGAACAAAATAAAACTCTATGTAATTATCATTAAAATAACTAGTCCAGCTGAAATTTAGTTCAGAATAGTAAAACAATTGTACCTTTGATGTAAAGCCTGGTGCATTGGATTTGCAAAATTATTCTCTTGAGATGCTAAATCTGCCTCTTGGTCAGACAGAAGTGATTCTTCTAAATCTCCATTGTGCTGATCTCTCATTGCAAAGTAACTGCAAAGCCCAGAAATTCATGGATTACGAAAGTATAAGAAATGAAGAAACAGGTCTACTGTCACTACGAGGACAAATTGTAATGAATGCTCACCGTTTACGATCAACAGAAGCTAAAGTTTCTCCGCTAACAGAATCCCAGGCATATATTTGTCCAGCCAAACATGTACTGACAACAATGCTTCCATCTGAGGCTATGCACTCAACTTCCTGAGGATGACCCTCTAGAACAAGAGGGATCGCTTCAAGGACAACCTAGATGAAAGACCAAAAAGTTTAGTGGCCTCGCCATAGTATAGAAAAAAAACCCATAAAACTTATCAATGAGGAAAGCTAGTTACCTCTGTATGAGCGTCTGTTGAACCAGTACTTTCAGGGTCATTTACCCAGCCCGACCTCCATTCAGCATAATTTCGTGAACAGACACACCGATAAAGAAGTACCATGCAGTATGCCAGGACACCAACGCTCACAACACAGAGTAGGCACAAGAAAAAAAGCTCCATGGGAGAAGATGGCAACAAAGGAAGTTCAGTAATTTTTCGGCCGCGTATCGAATCTAGACTGCTGCCAGATGATCTCTGATCCCCATCTACCAAAAATGAAAAAAATAATAATATTATTTTTAACTTAGAAACCAATACATTTAGTTTCAAAAAGTAAGACACACCTGAAAAATCAAGAGGATCCAGAGCAGCTGCAAGTGTTTGCCAATGAAAATGTTGCACAGGTCTTTCATTAGGATTGCGCAAATCCACAGCCACTTCAGGTGATATCACATATGACAGGCGGATTGCTGGTAAAACCGACAAATAGCGTCCACTAACAGACACATTATAAAGTGATAAAATAGTGGGCCAGTGGTAAGGTGAAAGACGATCCCATGGGTCATAACGATTAGGCTTAAGTCTGTTCATATCTTCCTGAAATTTTCATTCAATGAAATGAAAGAACATTTGTACTTCACAAGTGGCAAAAAAGAAAAGAATGTAGAAATTACTTCTCCAAATCCATGAGCAAATGATGAGATATTTTGCTTATCAATAACAGGTGCACTGGTTGCAAGATACTGCTGTGGGTTCTGCTCATATTGCCAGCTTGAAGATCCAGCAGCTTTCTCCCATTCGCGATCCTGAATGGTTTTTAAACAGAGAGAAGTTAAAATATCTACAATTACATTTAACACATTTATTGATCAGAACATGATGCTTTTAATTCCTCACCGTAGCATCAAGTTGAAAAAAGCTTTCCAACACATCTGAATTGTATGCAATAAAAGCTATCCACGAGACCATGAAAACCATGAAGCTTCTTTGAACAAATCGAGTGTTTGCCCAGAAATGCACTATTTGGATGCGTTTAGGGAGCTTGTTGAGAACTTGCCCAGCGTAGTGTACAGGGGCAACCACGATTGTAGGAAATCTAAAAGACACAAGCGTAAGGAAACAGACAGCCCTTTAATTAACATGACATTTCTACTTCACTGAAACCAGAACATACCTATCGGTAGATTGTGATATTATCCCATTCAGCCTGGGATGTGACTTTGATCGAAGTATTGACCCAAAGGACGAGCCAGTCGATGGAGTTTGCATAACACTGTGTCTGTACTTCCCTGATCCAAGAGTAGTACTGACTACAGTCAATAAAGAGGTAAAGAAAGCTAATTGCATAAAGAAATCACAAAGCAAACCAACAACTGCAAAAATGCAAAAACGTTGGATTGCTGGTACAAATGTAAAGAGGCCAAAAGTCAGAATTGTAACCTGCAACAGACAAGGAATTTAATAAAGAATGAATTTTACAACTACCAACTACTCTTTTATAGTTCTGGTGCAAATATAATTTTACCTCTGTCAGCAAGTTGTACGTAATACTCCAGCCCTCCTTACTCAAACCCTGGGCAACACGAATTTTCAGATCCAGGTCTCTAGGTGTGTGTAACATTGCTTTTGATAAGACAAATATATTTTCCACTCCTACCACCATTGCAAGGTATGGGTACACTTCCCGGGAATTAATGGTCAGCATGTGACCGAAAAAGGAACAGACACCAATTGACATTAGAAGAGAGGCCAATATAGTTATGACAGTACAAATGGAAAAACCAATCTGTAACAGAAATATTGGTGCTCTTAAAACAAAATGTTATAAGACTGGTGTTCTAATTAATTAAAACATTAACAGTTAAAATACCTTTGATCTAATGGTATCGACTTTCCGCACTGAAAAGTAAACCCATAGAAAAAACATAAAATACAGTGACATTAGTGGAATTAACTGTTTCCAGTTAAATTCTCCTGGGTAGTATATGTGTAGTTCAGGACCATCGTCATCCTCAACAATGCTGTCCTGATGTAAGGGAAACATGGTAGTCAGGCGTTTCCTCAAGCCATTGATATACCTAAAATTATTACATTTTACATCAATTACAGTTAACTTCAGAAAGCCAAATAAAAAATAAATACCAGTGCATGAAATTACAATTTATCATTCTCTTGGAGCAGGAGGGTAATAGCATATTGAAGAGTCCTCTGCCTTGTGCGCATGGGGTAGCGTTTTATTCCAGTATCTTTCAGGTTAAGACCAAACGAAATCTCGGCAAGACTTATTTTGCTCCTCTGAAGATTCTAAAGTTGTTTCAAACAGTAATAATATAACTGAAAATTGAGGACTGAAAAATGATGTGTACTTTAGTAAATAAAAAAAACACTTACAACATAGTTAAAAATGGTTCCCAAAAGACTAGAGTCCTCTTGAAATTCTTGGTAACTCTGATGCCACAGGTTGGCTGGTGATAGGACAAGACAATTGTACTCTGGAAGTATGTGTATGCTCTCTGAGGTGTATCTGGATTTTACTGCCTCTACATGAAGACAGATATGACTCAAAGAGCGAGAACTGCAGATTTTTATAAGGAAAAACGGTGAGAAATGATATTTAAAACAATTTGAGAGATATTAATTGGTTGAAAACCACAATGATAATACGTCTGACACAAAATACCTGTTAACATCCTCATAATTTCTTATAGTCTCCAGTAGTGCAAAGACTTCGGAAAGTGGACCACGGAATGCATCAGTCAAAACTAATTTGTCATTCCATGGTGAAACAGCTGTTTTTATCACAATCTGCAATTACAGAAATGTCATTCAGCTATAGTCATGTGGCATTTATGTAAAACTGAAATACCATTTTAACTGGAAAAATAACTACCTGCTGAATGTAACAAACAGGAGCTCCTGAATACCATACAGGAGTAGGACCTCCTTCATATCCACTCTGGTTAGAAGTGTATGAAGCATACGGCTGAGGTACATTCCCGGGCAAGGGGAGGTTCACAAGAGGATAGCTAAGCAAGTGCACAAATACACCAATATTACCAACAATAATTTTAAAGAAAAATTCATGAAATTAAAGGACTCTTCCTTACCAACATAATGTGACAATTGCACTTGCAAACAAAAGAAAAGCCACCGGATGAGAGGCACAGAACAGTCCATACGCATAATAAAGTTGTCCAACCCTCTCAGGGAGGGACTTGGATGATGGCCCTTCCCTGACTCGTGCTGGTGCCATCCCAAGAATCTTATAATTTAACCTGCCTCCATGATATATCTAAAAAAAACAATAACAAAAAAAGATAAGATTAAATTGGTTACAGCCACGGAATTAATGTGACATTAGAAAACTATGATTAGAACTGACATTGTATAGAACTGTCTGTTTCCAGAGTCAAAAATTTATGACTTAATAAGTACTGGACATGCTTATACAAATGATTAAATGCGAAAAACTGGAAAACAAATAATCCGATTTGATCGTTATCATGTTACATAAAAGGTTAGGAGTAACATACGCGGAAAGTTCAATCAATATGCGCAGACAACATTTTGAATGGCCGCATAAAAAACTGAATAATACAGTGGGCAGTAAAAATCGCATGTATATGCCAAGAAGAGAAAAATCACAATTGAAGATATGGACCCAACATTTAATCAGAGGTTGGGACAACCACAACAGATGGCCATGGGTGATTTCCTAGTTTGACAGCCAATGTCAGTGAAAGAAATGGAATGAAAATGAATTGCTAACTCGTGTTTAAATCATAACACACTCTATTTCAGACTTTGAACGGTACGATCTATACGTGCAGTTGAGTGTGCAAACTAGCCTACGTAGCAGGCGCATTATCACCTCCAACTACATTTGCTTTAAATGTCACACTGACCTACTGATCGAAAAATGATGCTGACGATAAACTCTGAGACACCGAAAGCGCAAATCCTCTGAAAGAAAGCGTATCATACACAATTATTTCCAATTGTGCGTTTAAGTTCTATCATCGTCGAAGCACACACTCGAGAAATCATAGTTGATGCAATATGGCGTTTGTTTTTATGAGAAATTGTTGGTTGCGCGCTTGCGTCGTCACTTGTTTATGCTGCCAGCATTAGTGCGCGCCATTCAAACGTCTGCGCCCCAATCCCCACACTGGGCAGGGCGCGCTTCCTTAAAGGTATCCTGCAAAGCGAAGGGTGCGGGACACCTGTGTGCATCTGAAAAACGCAAATTATTGGTGTAGGCGTGAGCCGCCATGGGCCGCTGGGGTGTCGATCAAGTATGGATAGAAGCTGAACTTCTCGTGGTAACTATGGGCGGGGCGGCGGGGGGCTGGTTGCGCAATCGCAAGGCGAACGAATAAACACGATCGGTGCGGAGCGGCGCTGTCCCCCAGGCGCGGACAGTCGGCAGAGTTATCTATGAGTCATCGTTACCCGAAGAAAATGGTGGGCCCGAGCGGAGCCCTAGGCGCTGGGACGCCTTACGCCGCGTGCCTCATACACCGAGTTCGCAGTCGCCTGACCGCCTCGGCTGTGGCGTGGCCACCTCCCCCCCTCCCCTCCCCGGCTCATGTCGTATCATTTATTCGCGCAATGTTTTGCGATTGGTTCAATCACTCTCGGTTTAGCCGATCACGTTTACTTCATTCAAGAACACGACTTTATTTAGGGGGGCGCCGTTAAAAAGAAGGACGGCGTTCATATGGTATCACGGCAGTGGGTCGGGTGCGACCGACCCCCTTCCCCACTTCCTCATTCACTGGTGCAACTGGTGCGCGGACTTGGGACGATGATATCTACCCCC